TTTGCTGTATACTAAAGTCTGAAAATACGTGGATATTAATCAGTCTTTTAAACTGTTTGTATTATGTTTTATTTTAATAGTTTTTGCAAAATGATCATATAATGCATAGGAATACATAGAAATAGACACACACACTTTTTCATAGTATTTTATTTGATAGTTTTGTATTGTTTTGTCACAATTGCAAGTAAGCATTTTCAATCATAGGAAATTTAGATAGTAAATGAATACAAATTCCTTAAAAAAAAAAGGGAATAGTAAATGAGTACAAGTTCCTTAAAAAAAAAAAAGGGAAACTTTCCCTTTTCCCTCTTCCCTTTTGCCTAAATTAGCTGAATAATCCTCACATACACCTATCTAGTTTTGCTTGAGGAAGTCACATGGGAGACTTTGTAACATCTGAGGTTTGTACATTTTCTCTAAAGAAACAATTCCATTTAACACTAGATATTCATAATCTGAGTTTTGAGTACTTATAAATTCTGTAAAGATAACTTTCCAAATCATGTATATCAAAACTAATTACCATTACAAATTATTTTAAAATATATCAAGACTTTTTCCTTATTAAGATGCATATAAATCACCATTTTCTTATGCAAGCATAGATATCTCAAAAACTAAGTTTACAGAAACTTACTCTTCTTTTAAAATTCTTAGTAACATTATAAAACAGAATATACTTTCTTAATTTTAAGATCAAGTGATAGACAATTTAAAAGTTGTGAATTGAAGGAAAACTAGTAACCACTCATTCTTTCATATAATATATACGATTATCATTGTGGTAGGTCCTAGGAACACAAAGACAAATTAAAGGAAGTTTCTGCCCTTAAGAGACTCAGTCTGGAAGAAGCAATATGGGAGGGGCTCCCAAGGTGCTTTATGAAGAGGAATGAAGAGTTCAGGTTTGTGTTGCAGGAAAGTAAGCCTAGCCAAAAACAAAAACAAAAACAGAACAAAAGCAAACAAGATGGAGACAAAAAAAATTTATACAGTACCTACTATGACACTGTGCTGAGCACAAGGTGTTCAAACAAGATTTCAGTTCTCCAGGAACCCGTAATTCCTGCCATTCTCATAAAAAAAAAAAAAAAAAAAAAAAACATTTCTGACATATTATTATAATAGGAAGGACTGTATTCCAATTCACCAATTAGATGCATGAACAATTTCACACAGAAGGGTGAACCTAAGGTTTAGAAAGGAGGTGCTAAAATAAAGAAATGCACACAAAAGATTATCCATTAGGAAATTACCAAATCACTTATGCTTCCAAGGCTGAATAACTATGATCATATTAAAATGAATCCTCACCCTTGGCTTGTCAGATTTCTAACTTCAATCTAGGTATTCTTAGAGATTTATCATAGTACCTTACCTGTTTATAGAGCTCTTCAATTTACAAAGTATTGAAATATCATTAAAACCACATACTAATCGTCAAATGGGAGAAGCAGAACAAATTACCTCATTTACAATATAGAGAAAAGCTTGGGTTTATGGAGGTTATGAAATTTAACTCAGGTCTGCAGATTGTTGGTATACATAGTTTAACTTGGAATCAGTCTTCTATCACTAAAATGGACCTTATAAAGATTCAAAGTCAAAAGATAGCATGAAAATTGAAAAAAACATGTTAGGTGAGATTATAGGTAGTATTTAATTTTTTTACATGTTGCAGCATAATTTTTACAGTTACAATGATTTTAATTATTGAATCCAATTCCCTAGTAAAGGAAATTGAGTTTTAGAGGCTGAGTACTGCCAAAAGTTACAATAAAAACAACTGAAGGGTAAGAACCACAATTATCTTGACTTCTACCCCACTTCTCCTCCAGTGTCTCAAAAACAAAAACAAAACAAACTTTTGGAGATACCCACTCTGACTTTTTTTGTCTTCTGGAATGATTAATATAAACAAGTCATTACAGGAAAAACAGATATAATTAAAGTTACTGATATAAAGGTTTTATTCTCAAAAAGGCAATAAGACTATAATTTTAAGCAACAGAGCTTGTCTTTTTAGCATAATTTTGCTTATTTTGTAAAAAAATGAAAATAAATGAATTTTTAACCATAGGAGTTTTAAAATTACCATTATTAAGTGAACTAAAGTAGATAACAATATGAGTGCCTTAAAAGGTGTTTGAAAATAATATTAATATAGTTGCCAAACTTTACATTCTATCCACCTAGTTTATTATGCAGGTATGAGTACCTACTACATGCAGAGAACTTTTCAGGGAATAGTGGAGTAATACAATGATGAAACCATCCAGAGCCCAATAAGAAAGACAAGATATGCGTTCAAATTGCTATGATGCACAGTTTAAAGTTGATTTTAACTGACCTTATAGATACATAGGATTTATGGAAACAGGAAAGAAAAGAAGTTCTATTTATGCAGAACAGATGAATGAGATAGCAAAGTACAAAGTTCCTAGGATGTATAGGGAACAAAGTTACTGTCAAGGTGTGCTCTTAAGAGCCCCCTAAGGATATAAATGGGAAATAAAGCTTTTTGAGGCCAGAGTATTGATCCTTGAAACTTCAGGAATTTGGGACTTAATTAGGAACTAGAATCCAAAATATCTCAAAATAAAAGTGTAACAATGACCAGTCTAGTTATATTAAGCCATAACACAAAACCTTAGAGAGAACATCTGTTCATTCAACAATAAGCTCAAGTTACGTTTTTTAAAAAAATAAAAAGTTCTAAGCTGTTGCAGACACCCCAGATCAAATAGTAATTCCATGAAAAATGCTGTGTATGCAGTCACTGCGGCATATTGATATTTAAAAAGATAGTCCAAAACCTTATATCTTTAAAAAAAGCCATGAAATTAAGATTTCATGTGTTTTATATAGGTTTTAAATGTAGAAATATTTGTATACTTTTATAGAATATAAAATATAATATCCTATAAAATATATTTGTTAAAGATTATCATGATGATGTAATCTAGGCAAAGGAAAACTATGTGGAAAAGAAAAGTATAATTTTAAGAAGTAATAAAAGCAGGGCTGGGGATGTGGCTCAAGCGGTAGCGCGCTCGCCTGGCATGCGTGTGGCCTGGGTTCCATCCTCAGCACCACATACAAAACAAAGATATTGTGTCCACTGAAAACTAAAAAATAAATATTAAAATTCTCTCTCTCTCTCTCTCTAAAAAAAAAATAAATAAAAGCAGAGGAAGATCTAGAGCCTTTCAAACTTTCTAGCTAGACTCCCACACTGTGGGCCTTTATATATAGAGTCCAGCAGGCCAGATTTTGAATACTAGTTTTGTGATCGTGAACACATGTCTCAACTTCCCCATGATTTATTTTCTTCTATAAATTTAAAAGGACAAATATTTACCTTACAGGCAAGGATTAGAAAGAGCATAGGAAAGCACTTGGTGAATATTCAATGACAGCTCTTCAATAAAAACCTATTCTGTACCTACCATTGTGATTCTGTGGTTTTTAATCCTTGGCAAAGTAAGGTGCTAGATGAAGTATACTCCCATTGGTGATCAAGGAGCATTTCAAAGCCCACAGCTCAAATTTATCCTCCCCGCATAAACATATTCCCATAAGCACATATGTATACTTTCACTTTAAGGAGTTAGGAATTCTAAGTTAATGAGATCCTTTTAAATGGTAAAATGTCCTTTGGAAAGGCAATCCACCTTCATGCTTTGGTGTGACCAGTTCCTTATTTAGTGAAAAATTACTGGGTTCTCTTGGGATTGGAGGAAGAAGGCAATGTGCATTAGGAACTTTAGAATGATAGGAAGAAAGATAGGGTGAAGGGAAAATACAGTTGGGAAGAAACCACCACACAAATAATGGATCTACCTTGTATGAGAGTCTTGGTAAGGGACCCTTTTCTCCCCTGAATGTCTCTGAGGAAGATAAATGACACTTGAGTTAAAATTATCAACGTTTGTACCAAAACCAGATTCTTTCTTTTTATCTCTGTCTCACCAACAGTGAGCTTCACCTTAAAATACATAACACAAACGACAGGAAAGATCGTGAGAAAATGTGTGCAGCACTTTTCTGCTCTCCATCTTAATTCTCAAGAAAACTGTGGTGAATTTTTTCCTACTTGTTGGTCTTCTTCAGAGTCAATCCCGCTCCCACTCTCCAACTTTAAAAGTGGCAGTCTTAATGATTTTCTTAACATCGATTCTGTAGCTATTCATTCTGTGTCAGTCATAAGCAGTAGATTAGTTTATCTCCAAATCCCATATCCTCTGCCTTTAGCCTAGCTTTGGCAGTGAAGCTGGCGTGCTAAACTACTGCTACCAACCCCCACCCTAAACATTTCAGACTGCTGACTGCCAACTTTGGATTCTGGGATTCCCAGGACGTCAGGTCAAGCCACTGAGAAGTCCACCCAGGGGTAAATTCCACACATAGTTTCTTCTCGCTCTCTCTGGGATCAGTGCTTTAACATCTGGGTTAATTAGATCGTGCAGACTCGGGTAACTAAGCGCAGAAAACAGCTGGGCACGTTGCTCAAAACCCAGACGCAATCGTTTAGAAATCGCTTCTGGAAATACCGGCTCTAATAGGCGTGTCACGTCTGAATGCGGACAAGGATTGAGCAAAACCGAGCATAATTTGGAACTTTGGGGGCCAAGTCCGCAACTTTTGAGACCTCCTTTTACTGTCAGATCCAAGTTTTGAAACTGGATGTACGCCAAGTGAGGACCGCTGAGCGTGACAAACGCGCCCAGCTAAAAATATATATTTGCACTCACGTATTCAATTCTTCACAACAGGAATGAAAGGGAAAACTTAGCATGTCCAAGTTCAGCGTTAAAACAAAAGTACCGCCACTAAAGATTCCGTGCCCCTTCTGAAGAAAGTTAATGCCAAGGAGCACCAACCGCTCAGTACGCCTGCGCAGGCCAACCGCGGCCCCGCCTCTCCGTTGAGGACGTAAAACGTGCGCCGGGCGGTGGGAGGCGGGACGCGGGCTGCGCATGCGCCCTCGTTGCGTCAGCCACTTGCTCGGAGCTGACGGCTGCAGCCTCGAGAGGTTCGTGTTCACTGCTGTGTCTCCTGGGCGCGTTCGTCGGGCCGCGCGGGGAGACTAAAACCGGAAGGGCTAGAGTAAGTGCCCCCTCGGCTGCATGAGTCAGAGCTACAGTATTTCCTTCCCTCCGGGCAAGTGACCATAGAAACTGGACCCCGCCCCCTTCCGGGCCTAGACTCCCTTTCCCCCTACCCCTTGCCCCTTTCCCTTTGGGGACCCCCCCAGTTCTTCTTGTTCTGTTACTGAGCTTCAACTAAGGTCATGAAGCTGGTGAGGAAGGACATTGAGAAGGACAATGCGGGTCAGGTGACCCTGGTCCCCGAGGAGCCTGAGGACATGTGGCACACTTACAATCTAGTGCAGGTGGGCGACAGCCTTCGCGCCTCCACCATCCGTAAGGTACAGACCGAGTCCTCCACAGGCAGCGTAGGAAGCAACCGGGTCCGTACAACGCTCACTCTCTGCGTGGAGGCCATTGACTTTGACTCTCAAGCTTGCCAGCTGCGGGTCAAAGGGACCAATATCCAAGAGAATGAGTATGTCAAGATGGGGGCTTACCACACCATCGAGCTGGAGCCCAACCGCCAGTTCACCCTGGCCAAGAAACAGTGGGATAGTGTGGTTCTGGAGCGCATTGAACAGGCCTGTGACCCGGCCTGGAGTGCTGATGTGGCAGCGGTGGTCATGCAGGAAGGTCTCGCCCATATCTGCTTAGTCACTCCCAGCATGACCCTCACTCGGGCCAAGGTGGAGGTGAACATCCCTAGGAAAAGGAAAGGCAACTGCTCCCAGCATGACCGGGCCTTGGAGCGGTTCTATGAACAGGTGGTTCAGGCCATCCAGCGCCACATAAACTTCGATGTTGTAAAGTGTGTCCTGGTGGCCAGCCCAGGATTTGTGCGGGAACAGTTCTGCGACTACATGTTTCAGCAAGCAGTGAAGACTGACAACAAAGTTCTCCTAGAAAACCGGTCCAAATTCCTTCAGGTAAAATGTTTTTACTCAGAGATAGTTAAGAATGGGCAGAGGGATTGGTATAAACTGCTCCTAAAGTTTTAGAACTGGGAAAAGTAAAAGAGGAGAAACTCTACTTAGCTGGGATTGTAAATGAAGTAATGAAAAGAGAACTGCTCAATATCTAGCATATTTAAATAATAAACTTTGCTGAAGTCCACACACACACACACACACACACACATACACATATGTATCCTTGTTAATTCTTTAGACTTTAGGTAAACATGGACTGCTTAGTGGATGCTTTCAGAGATTCTTTTGTCTTTTATAATTGTGATTCTAGGTACATGCCTCCTCTGGACACAAGTACTCCCTGAAAGAGGCCCTTTGTGACCCTACTGTAGCTAGCCGCCTTTCAGACACTAAAGCTGCTGGGGAAGTTAAAGCCTTGGATGACTTCTATAAAATGTTACAACATGAACCTGACCGAGCCTTCTATGGACTCAAGCAGGTGGAGAAGGCTAACGAAGCCATGGCTGTTGACACATTGCTCATCAGCGATGAGCTCTTCAGACACCAGGATGTAGCTACACGTAGCCGGTATGTAAGGCTGGTGGACAGTGTAAAAGAAAATGCGGGCACTGTTAGGATATTCTCTAGTCTTCATGTATCTGGGGAACAGCTCAGCCAATTGACTGGAGTAGCCGCCATTCTTCGCTTTCCTGTTCCTGAACTTTCTGACCAAGAGGATGATTCCAGTTCTGAAGAAGATTAATGATTGAAATTTATAGTTGAGACAACCTTTTGTCTCACTTCATTAATATGTATATTTTTTTCAGCATCCTTTGAGAGAAAGCTGCAAGATGGGCACTTTTGGGTTCATACTGGAATTTCTCATGTATTTGATCACACTAGATATTTTATAGTTCTCAGAACATGTATTCAAACTAAACAATAAACTTAAATGAAATAAATTCCATGTTTTATATTTATTAATTAGGATAATTTTACTTGTACTTGGAAAAAAATTTTGTATATCTAATAGGAATACTTATTTTGGGCATAGATCATAAAATATCATATTGCATACTTTGAGTTAGTTTTCCTTTTGAAAAAAAAGCTATATTCTCTCATTATCCTGAGTTTTTATTGTTCATTTTAATTTTGCCTGGTATTCTTGCTTTGCATTTAATGATTCCTTTTTTACCCACTTCCCGCACATACTCCCATTTTTTTTAGACTTACATGCATTTCCTCTTTTAATTGATAACCAATTAGTAAACTTTGAAGACAAGTTTAACATGCTATTTTTCTTCAGAGATTTGTTAAATTAATCATGTTAGAAAAAACTCTTGTGCTTTTTCATTGTTAGACTAAATCATACTTGCTTTAGAGGAATACTTAATCAGTCATTTTCAGATCATGGAGTTAATAGTTAATCTCTTTGGAGACTCTTTTTTTAAAATAAGACTAAGATAAGTGCCTTGGTTGCAAACTAGTGGCAAACCTGAAAGTAGTCTCCAATTTAGATTTCAGGTGTTCACATTGAAACACTGCCACACTACTTTTTATTTGTTTATTTACTTTTTTTGGCTTATCAAAGTTACACTTAATTCTGTCTTTAATTTGTGGAATTAGTCTGTTTTCATAATCTTACTGGACTATTTTAGGTCTTAAAAAGCATATTCAGAAAGTTTGATTAAGTCATACCATTAGTGTGTGGTGGTTATACTCCAGTATTCCTTACTGTAATTAGGGGATTTCTGCAAGTACTTCAGCAGTTAAGATATCCTTTTTATTGAGTGGTTTGCTGCTGTTGTTGTTGCTATTTTGTTTTCAGTGCTAGGAATCAATCCCAGGTATACTCTACTACTAAGCTACATCCTAATTTTTATTTTGAGACAAAATCTCACTAATTTTGTCCAGAGTGGACTTTTAACTTGTGATTTTCCTACCTGAGCTTCCCAAGTAGATGGGAATACAGGTGTGCCACTGTACCTAGCATTTATTAAGTATTATTGATATGCATTTCTAAGAGTTATAGAGGGAGCTTTAGGAATGGAATTACATCTTGATCTTTATAAACCTCAACTTAGAAAAATAATTAGGAAAGGTCTTACAGTGATTTGTAACTCTTGAATCAATGATTCCTACCTCAAGAAGTGATACTAAGTAAACTTTTGCTTGTCTTTTCTGTGTCTGTGGTGCTTTCTCATCACATAACAGGTTTGGGGATTATTTTTGATAAAACTTCCTAACTGGTCTGAACCTTTTCATGTAATGTTTGTTGGGAACTGACATTTCCATATATTTTAAAATCAGATGTTTGTATTTATATATATCTACCTCCTAATCTAAAAAGAATTCATTGCCAATATTTCATTATAATTCTATAAATATTTAGTTTTAATGTATAAAGGTATTTTATTAAATAAGGAATATAGAAAGGAAACCACTAAGATCATTAAAATGAGAATCTGATTGGTAATGAATCATAATCAGTAAAAATTTTAAAATTTGGAAGCAGCTTACTATGAAAATCTATGCAGTACTGAGATGAAATCTAATAAATCTAGGCAATACATTTTAGGCCATATGTTCTCAAATGTTAGCTACAATTTGAGAGCTCTTAAAATTCTCCTTGCCCAGCTGGGCATGGTGGTGTACACCTGTAATCCCAGAGGCTCTGGAAGCTGAGGTAGAAGGTTTGCAAGTTCAAAGACAGCCTCAGTAACTTAGTGAGGTCCTAAGCAATTTAGTGAGACCCTGTCTTTAAAATATTAAAAAAAAAAAGGCTGGGGATGTTGCTCAGTGGTTAAGCATTCCTGGGTTTAATCCCTGGTACCAAGAAAATGAAAATAAAAGGATTGGGGAAGTGGCTCAGTGGTTAATCGTCCTTGGTACCAAAAAAACAAAACAAACAACAAATAAAACCACCAGACTTCACCCCAGTCTAATTAAGTAACTTTTCACCCCCCAGAATGCTGAGGTTTGTATTTTAGTTTGCTTTACAGTTAACTCAGATGATTTCTATAGGCATCAAAAGTGTGAACCACTGAAAGGCTGGGATTGTGGCTCAGTGGTAGAGAACTTGTCTAGCATATGTCAAGCACTGAGTTCAATCCTCAGCACCACATGAAAGAAATAAACAAAGGCATCATGTCCATCTACAACTAAAATACACACACACACACACACACACACACACACCACTGATTCAAAACTTAGTATTTAAAAACGAAGTCCATGGACAAACAGCATCTATGAGAATTAAACTAGAATCCAGAATTCTAGTCTAGACTTCCAACTTAGAATATACTTGTACCAACATCTCCAGGTGATTGCTGTACATAATAAATATACATAATAAATATAGAGACAATACTTGAGTATCCAGCGGTAGGAAATCTCTGGCTGAGGTCACCAGCCATAGACAAAAACAAATTTCATTTTTAAGGTCTTTCAAAACAGATAGCTATCCATACTCAAGGATCCAACCCCTAAATATAAGCATATTGTTATGTACATGAAGTATTGATTTAAAACTTAAATTTGTGTGTGTGTTGGGGGTGTTAATCAGAGATTCAACCCAAGGGTACTCTACCACTAAGCTACAATCGCAGCCCTTTTTTTTTTTTTGAAAAAGAATCTTTCTGAGTTGCACAGGCTAGTCTCAATTTTGTGATCCTCCTGCCTCAGCCTCCTGAGTTGCTAGGATTACCATCATGAGCCACCATGTCTGGCTAATTCCTATTTTCAGAAGGTCACACTTTATATCATCACCAAGAGTATAATTCTTAATGAGTGATGGGGGAAATATCAACATAATGATAAAAGCAAATGGCATTAAAAATTCTAGTAATTTGACTTTACAGAAAATCAAAATGAACCATCAGTATAATTCCAACTTCTGTTCGTTAATATTGAGGAATATGCGATAAAGTGTTTAATAACAACCTTTTCTAAAGTTGTACTGTAAATTTCTATCTGGTTTTAGTGTGCATAAAGATTTGCTACCCTCACCCAGACTCAATAAATTAGAAAATGCAGATCTTTTTTGCTTTATTGTGAATATAACATCAAATTATATTTTGCTATTCCTGGTTCCCCATTTATATGTTAAGTACCTTGCTAATTTTTATGACTGGGTTTTACTTTCATTATCCCTTTATAAGCAACTTGGATCTTTTTCCTGTCATATGTGGTTGAATAGCTTTATAAAGCTAATTTTGCTTTTTGTCTTACTTTCAGTCACTAAATTTAGTTTCCTTTTTTTTTTTTATCCTCGTACCATTTCTCTCAACTTTAAATTATCCTTAATAGAAGTGACTCATAATTACTGCAATTCATATATTTTGGAACTAAAAGTTTCTATTGCAAAAAACAAGTATACAGATAAAATGCTATGTGCATACATCCTCCATAATAGAAGCCCTTAGTTGGAGAAGGATTATGGTGGCTTTAAATCATATGGATTTCCTCACAGATATGACTGTCTGTGCTTAGTATCAGAATATATTAGACTACAAGTTGAAGAAGGGTTACTAAGGGTTTGAGGAGAGTATTCTTTTGTCTTATAGGATGTCCATATTTATATTACATCAGTCATTAAGAGTGATACGTTTAATTCCATTCACTTTTTTTAGCTTCTGCTTTGAACCATTCACTAGGCTGCACTTGAAAAACAGAAACATTAATCAAATCAGTCACAAGTAATTTGTAAAAAGTGTATAAAAGAGCAATGTTGAGAGGGTGGTCATGTTTTAGGAGGAATTTTATAGAGCAAGAACCAATAAGCTTACCTACAATGGAGAGAGGAAACTTGGGGAAGTCATGTGGGAAGACTGGGAGGACAGGTGTCATACAATAAGGAGTTTGAGTTTGACCATGCTGAGAAACAACTGTTATGTTTAAGCAAGAGAATGTTATGATAAACTTCATTTCAAAAGTATCACTGTTTTTCAATATCAAGAATTGACTGGAGGAAGTGATACTGGAGTCAGGAAGATTGTTTAAAAGACTATACATTTAAAAATTTGAGAGAAAGTCAGAGATTTAGAGGCCTTATGGTCTATTTTGATTTGGGGGATGTATTTAGTTCCAAAATATCTGATACTGAGACATGGGACAATATCTTCTAGGCAGCAAATAGAAGAGAAAAATGTCTTGGCAATAACAGTGCCTGGCTATGCCCAATATTAATACCATTGCCCCAACTCTGAGCATGGACAAACTATTATAATAAAAGTAAATATGTGTTTAAGTACAAGTTCCTGTGGGAGGGCTTTAAAATGCATGTTAATTCTTCCAAGAACCTCATGAGAAAGATATTATTATTATTACTATTTTCAGATGAGAAAACTAAAATTAAAACAGGTAGAATAATTTGTTCAAAGTCATTGCTAGTGAGTGTAATGAAGTTCCCTAACAATCTACTCCCTTAAAAAATCTAAGAATGTCATTCCTTTTCTCAGTTTTCAGTTTGGAATAGGTCAAATGTGTGCCTAGAAAATTATTGATAAATTATTTGATAACAAGAAATTTTGTATAATTAGCCAAGGTTTAATTAATTATTTTGTGTGTTTTACTTATCTCATTGTCATTTAGTTGTCTTTTGTGCAAAATCAGGAACTCTATCTTGACACTCTGTCTAGAACATACTGAGTATTAGAAAGTATAGGTAAAATGTACATTAAAGCAAGCACCTCAGGCTGGGGATATGGCTCAGTTGGTAGAGTGCTTACCTCACATGCATAAGGCCTGCTTTTATCCAACATCTACTTATTGTTATTTTGAATCTAGTTTGAGCAAGCTTAATTTTTAACAATTTTTAAACCTACAATATTAAGGCATGCAACAAACATTTATTAAGTAAGCACCTTAAGTGGCTTCAACTGTGATATCCTGGGGTATACAAAGATGAATTTGGAAACTTTTTCCTTCCTGTAGTCAGCAAATTTGATATTTGGGAGAG